CCTTCTCCTCCTCCTCCTCCTCTTCCTAGTCCTTTGATGTTACAAGACGTCGGAGGCCTGGAGACCCAGGAAGGGAAGGCCCCCGCCCCCCTCCCGCCGTCCCGTCCTCCTGCGCCGTCCTGCTCTTCACTCCGTCGTCCTCCGCCCTTTTCCCTGCTCCTTCCTGCCTTTCTCCCTGTTCCTTCCTGCGCTCCGCCCTCCTCCATGCTCCTTCCTGCCCCCTCCTTCGCGCCAGAGCGCGCCGGCCGCCGGCCGACGGCGGCGGCAGCCAGCGACGGCGACGACGACGACGACGCGACATCGACGAGACGGCAAGGCCCCTGGGGCCAAGCCCGCCGCCAAGATGCCGGTCATGGCGCGACCGGGGAAAAGTCGTCGCCGACGCCGTCGCCGTTGTCGTCCAAGCCGCCGCCCGTTACTCCTCCTCCACCGCTACCCTCGGCCGATCCGAACCGACCGAAACGAACCTAACCAACCAAACTGGGCTGGCCGAGCCGGACCGGCCGCGCAACTCGAACTGGACCGGCTGGACCAGACTGGACGACGTTCTGAACCGGACCGGCTGAACTGGCCCGAACGCACACCGGATCGGACCGAACCGGGGCCATCACGGTCCAGTGCGGAGCCAAGACGTCCGCGCGGACCTCTGACACTTTCCCACAACCATGATCTTAAGATGTGGCGCTCCTGAGCAAAGATCTGAAGATATGTACATGCGCGCGTCCTCGCAAGTCCCTGGTCGCGTGGATGAAATAACGGCGTCGCCCCTCTTGCGGGCGGCGGTGCCGGGGGCCCCGCGCGCGGGGCCCCTGCCGTTCCCAAGTGATTTGCGCCCCCCTCTGCGATGGGAGCGAGACGCAGATAGAAACAGGGGGGGGGATGGGATACCCCGAGGTGAGAAGGGGGCGCCGGGTCCACCCCCTCGCCCGGACGCCGCCGGACGTTGCGCGCGGCGAGAGCCTGCAGACGCTTTTTCACCTCGCTCCTTTTTCCCCCTTTTCTTACAACGCCGCCGCCGCTGCTCGCCGCTAGCGCGCGCGCAGGGTCCGATCGAAACGCGACCTCGAAGCCCCGCCCATCCCCCATCGGGGCTTCCACGGCTGAGGCCCCGACCTCGCCCGCGGCGGAAGGGCGGGGGCGCCCGAAGGAAGGAAGGGGTCCCCAGACGCAGAGATGCCCGCCAGCGGGTGGGGGCCCGAACTTATCGCGCAGGCGCGCCATGCCACCGCTCGCAGACCCCCCCGGCGCGGGGGCCGCCGCCGAGCCCCGCGCGCGGCGCAGCTCAGGGCGAACGGTCGACAACCCCTGAACGGGCATGTATTCCGAGCGGTCATTCGCTGCAGCCGCGGCTCACGGCGCCGCGGCGGGCGCGGCCTCCGGGGGCGCGCGCGGGCTGCCGCCCCCTCGCCCGTGCCCTCTCCTGCCGGGGCGCCGCTGCAGCCGCGCCCAGCTCCGCCCGCGCGGCGTCGTCCGGGACGCGCTAAGCGAGGCTGTCGCCGCGGCGCAGGGCGCGCGCGTCGCCCGCGGCCCCCGCGACCGTGCCCAACTGCGGGCGTCCTGTCCGAGGCGGCCGCCGTTTCCTCGTCTCCGCGGCCGCCGCGTGGGGCCCCATCGAGGGGCTCGTCGAAGTCCGTCGTCTGCGCGTCGCTGAGGTTTCCTGGCGCGCGGCTCTCCTCGCGCGGTAGCCAGAGCAGGCTCGGCGCCATCTTGCGTGACCTCAGCTTCTCCGCGAGCCCGATGAAGGGGGCCGCCAACGGCAGCTTGGTCAACGCGGCCCTGGTCGCTGCGTAGACGCCCCCTGCGTTGGCCGTCGACCCCGCCATCTTGTGGCGCCCCGAGGTCACCTGTAGCGATGAGGTCGCCCTCGTCGTCCGCCACTTTGAATGCTTCGCCGAGGTCGATGCTGAAGGCGTCGAAATCCCCCTCCAGGATGGCCTCGAGGGGGATGGGCGCGCCTGGTGCCGAATCGCCGACTTCGGGCTTGGGCGCCGAGTTTGCCACCTTCTTCGCAAACTCCTCCTAGGATGTGTCCAGCGCTTCGAGCTCGCTCGACATCGTGGCCACCAGCTTGCGTTGCTTGTCCAGCTGCAACTGAAGCGAATCGATATTCTCGAGAAGGTTGCCATGCCGCAATCAATCCCTCTGGCAACGCGCCAGCTGCTCTTCGAGAGGCAGATGCTGCGGAGGTGGCGGGCGGAGAGCTGCCAGCTCTGCCTTGCACCTGCCCACCTCCTCATCGTTGCCCACCATCTCGTGCATCGTGGCGAAAGACAGGAGCTCGTCAACGCTGAGGCCCTGTAGCGACCGAAGCCGTTGGCCTAAGCTACCTGCACCACTGCCCTGCGGCCCTGGGACAAGAGCCCACGAGCCTGGCTGCGCTGGAAATGGCTGCTGATGCCATCCTCGCCAAATGCCTGGAGCCGCCCAACCATCCGCCCCGCCTTTGCCGTCGGCAGCTCCGGTCGGGAGGGGTGAGCGTACGTGGAGAGGAGCACCACCAGCCCAAGCGCCAGCAAAGCGATGATGGCCAAGAAACGCCTCACCACTCCATGGCGCGGATCAATGCTTGCACTACGGCGAAAGATGATGATTATGATTCCTTGCGTCTCCGCCGCCGCCACTGCCCTTGCCCTTGCCTCCTGACAACTCTGTCAAACCCAAGGGTCCCGGAAGAAACCATCCTGTGCCATCGACAAGTGTGAGGAGCAAAGGAGCGGGGGAACCCCAGTAAGGTCTCGGAGGGGCGACTGGCTGAGCGAAAAGAGGAAGATGAGTCCTTGCTGGTGATGCCAACGTACACTGTCGGGGGCCGCAAAATCCCCCACACCAGCAAGGTAAAGCCCTTGAGCACAACATTCCGTACTTGAGCCAAAGTGGCTACGGAACATCTGTTCCTCGTCCACTGTCGGGTCAGAAGCTTCTCCTCCAAACTGATTGCAACCCGAAATGATCACAGTATCGCCCCGCCCTCCGCCTTGTCAGCGTGATGCGCGATGCGCGTGCGTGGATGTAACAAGTGGGTGCTGCAATCACATGTACTAGATTTATGTCGGGCATGTCCCCCTACAGGGGGATTTTCAACGAAAAATAAAAAATACCCCCAAATTGCCCCCCAAAGGACCAAACTTACTCAAAAAATAGTCCCTGGACTATTTTTGGACTATTTTTTGGACTATTTTTGAATATTTGTCATTTTTCGTCGAAGATCCCCCTGTAGGGGGACAGGCCCGACATAAGACTAGATCCGACCATGAGTGGCACGCGGGCGCGCCCACGCGCGAGCCAAAACCACTCAACCTCACCCCCGTCTGTTCGGACCTTGCAGTCACAGCGCGCCATACAGTGTGCGGGCAGATCAGAAACATCTGCGCCCGAGCGCTGGCAAACTTGGTAGCGTCCAAAACCCGGAGAGCGAAGAGACCCTTCGGGACGGGAAATCTTTCCTGGAGAGCTCTGGGAAGTTTCCCTGCAGCGCTTCTGAAGCGCTGCCAGAAACGCTTCCATGCGTGCCTGCACGTGTGCCGGCACGCGTGGAAGCTTGCCGGAAGCTCTCCCGGACCAGCTGCCGGGCCGAACGAACTGCTGCCGGGATTCTGGAGCGGCGAAGATGGGCTGCTGGCGGGCACCACCACCGTCCGGCTTCTAATCTTAAACCCTCTAGCTCTCAGCGAGCTCTCCGGGAACATCATTTACACATAATGGTTTTGGTTGTGGGGCACGGGCGTCTGTTACCGATAAGTGCCCGACTGTTGGTGTCACATGGCACCCTGCTGTTGGAGCCAACCACGCCGCGCGTTTCCCTGAGGAAGGCAACCCCCCCCCCATGGAGGCCAAGGTTACCGGCTTAGTTTGCCGAGTTCAACTGTTCGGGCCATTTCTTTCTATATACCATGCAACACCATGCGCATCAATCCTCTTCCGACCTCTGCCAAATAATGCAATGCGGGGCGCACGGGTAAGCGTAGTGACAATCCATGCCAAACCAGTCCGTGCGGGCCACCAGCGCGCAACGTTGCCAACATCGTTACGACACCCTCCCACACTCGTACGAACCAATTACCAAGACACATTGTTCTTACATGTAAGTTGCCGGACTTCTGGGCGCCTGCACTCGCTGAGCTCATCAAAATCAACGGGTGGCTTGCAATTCTGCCAAATTGAACACTGCGGGCCACACGCACGAACGAAGGCCGACATCATGCAACAAACAAGACGCACCCGCCTGATCAGTCAACCATTACGATGCGGGCAACACGCGTGCAGTCGTTCCCTGGCTCCGCATTCCAATAAAACGCATCTGTCACGACACATCTGATACACATTTCTGCCATGCAGGAAGACGTACTGCCATCCTGTCAACACCACCGCTAACGTATTCATCGCCATCGCCATCGCCATCATCATCACCATTGGCGCCATCGTCATCGTCCCTGCTGTCACCCTCGCCATCATTGCCACCACAATCAGTCGTTTGTGCCGGCATTGTCGTCACCATTGCTGGCGTGAACATCATAACTCGCCCGCCCAAGCCATGGATCTGCACGAGATGGGCCGCGCCTCCAGGTGCCTATGGGGGGTGTTAGCAAATTCCAATTGCCAAATGCATTCACAACCACCTGGGTTTCGTCAACCAGTTGCGTGTGGGTGGGTGGGCGAGGGCTGTTGCTCGAACGCTGCAGTGTTCTAGCGGGTGACACACGCCGCTCCCTGCAACCCACGGATTTGCACCCCATGCGATGCACCCCTCTGATCGCGACCCATGGATTGCACTATGTAAGCCATTCCCGTTGACTGCAAGACGTCTCTCTTTCAGGCCCACGCGCTGGCATCGTTTTCCAGCACGACTGAAACTCTTGAGGGCGAGCCCGCTTGCAGTGAAGGGCGCAACCGCTGATCGGGGAGACCTCGCCGCCACAGGTGGGGGGTCCTTCGAGTAATACTCGCTGAGGATCTTCAGGGCGAGCTTGACGCCCTCGAGCCCCTGCTCCATCTCGGCCCTGTTCTTCGTGTACAGCGCCTCCCGCGCGCTGGCGCCGTGGGCCATCTCCTCTCTCCTGCATGCCCGTGCTGCTGCGCCTCCTCGTCCTTCACCTGCCCCAAGCCCTCAGCCAAAACATCGCTCATCGCATGCATGCTGATCGTATCGTCGCTGTGCAGATCAATGCGCACAACACCAGCACCTGCAGCTAGAAAATCACACGAGAAACCTGACCATGAAACAGCTCTTGTGCGCTCAAGCGTTCAGGTGCAACATCGCACGCGTGCAAAACAAACGTTCTCATGCACACAAACGCACACCTCATCTGGACATGCCCTACATGCTTTGGCAATTCCATCCTACGCTCGATTACACGTGCAACCAAACACCGCCAACTTTTCATCAACACCTGCCCAGCCCGCTCAACGATGACGTCAATGCCAAAGTTCAAACGTGGAAAGGAAAGGCTGCCTTCTCCTCAGCGCGAATTTTGTCCATGGTGGCCTGGAGTCAATGCTGCGACTGTCGAAGGCACGTTGCACCGATTGCTGCCAGCTGATGTATGTATTCTGCGTGCCAAGTGGTGCTAGGTATTGGCTACTGCAATCAAGCGCGTATCGGAGGGTGACTGAGCGCTGTTCGTGGCCTGGCAGTGCTCCTATCTTGCTGCATCCCCCCTCGACAAACTGCAACGGCTCGAGGCTATGAGGGTGAATCCAAGAACTTCATAATTGGTACCAGTGGGCATTCGAGCTTCGATACTCCCTTCTCCTGTGGACGGACGATCGCAAAGGTACAACAATACACGAGATGCTCTTGCACATCGGTTGTGCTCGGAAGCGGAAAATCCGAGACAACTCGATTCTTGTCTGAGCTCATCACCACGGGGTCCCGCATGATAACCTTCGATATCTGCATGCATCGCTGCCGATGTGCGAGATCTCATTTGAGCTGCCCCGAACACACACACACACACATGTAAAACGCCAATGGCAAACCTAACCGGGCAATCACGAGAACCACAGCGTATGTACGTGCATGTGCGCAACGATTTCAACCCATAGCGCATTGAGGACACGTGCGATGACGTCGTTGAGCTATTTCTGATCGTCTTGGGCTCACCAGGGGGGAGCGAGGACGAGGAGGGTGAACAGGCGGGACGTGGAACAAGGAAGGACAGGTGAGGCAGAACGACCCTTACCCGTCGTGGGCCACTGAGGAACTCATTTGGCTGAGCGATGCAGCGACAGGGGAAGACGAGGAAGTGGAGAAGGAATTGGAGGAAGAGAGGGAAAAGGCTGCGCAAGGACGCAGGCAAAGATGGGAATAGGGGAGCAGCAGCAGCAGCGAGGACGAGGATGCGGAGGGCGACAATGATGATGATGATGATGATGATGATGATGATGATGATGATGATGGGACGAGGCATGTCGATCTTGGTCGGCCCAGCACGATGCTGACTCTGAGATGTTTCCATTTGCTGCTGCTGAACCATGTTGTTTCGCTCCGCATCCGCACGCAACTGTCAAAATGCCGCATGCCTGAGTGATCCGGCCACGGGGCTGGTGTGCGTTGGAAAGACAGGGAAAGACAGGCTGGCGCAAGAGGAGGAACGAGGAGGAACGAGGCGAGACACTGGAGGAGGAGATGGGGGGGGGGAGGGGAGAGGCAGAAGAGTAAGAGGAGAGGAATGGGAAGAGGAGGAGGAGGAGAGGAGCAGGAGGGGATGAGAAGAGGAAGACGCGAGGATTGGGAAGGAGGAGAGTGGGGAGGAGAGGAGCAGGAGAGGAGGAGGAGGATTACCCAAGGGTTACCCCAAGCTGACTCTGTCAGAGGAGGAGGAGGAGGAAAGGAGGGGGAGGAGGAGGACCAGTGTAAACGCAAGACTCACCGACGATATTACAATACATTATCCCTCCAAGTTGCTTCTTCATAGGCCCCATGCAATGTTTCATCTGCACTGAGGGCTAGAACACCATTCCTGGGACTTCACACCAGGTCGACTCTATCACATCACATAGCATTACATAACATGACAAAGCAAGCATACCACAATAACACATCACAAACCTGAGCATACCAAACAAGAACATTGCACTGCCTCACATAACATGAAGTACTATACCATTACACAACACAACAACACAACGCATATTGTGACAGGTCGGAACACACATGACATACCATAGCATACCATAGCACATCATGACATATCATATCATGACATAACATGTCATGACAAAGCGCACCTTAACACACCACATCAGCGCGGCACATCTATCATGACATATAGCATCGTAACACTCATGGCATACCATAACATGGCAGATCGCGGCATACGATGTTCCATCATAGCAGAACATACCATAGCATGAAGCCATAACCTATGGCAAAACTGACCATACATCATATAGCATCACACCACACCTCGTACCATGACATAGCATAGCATAGCATAACCTAACATACAATGCCAAATCATACCATACCATAACACACCATGGCAGAGTATGTCTCACTGTAGCACAGCATCAACGCAACTACCACCATGCCATGACATGAAAAACCATACCACGACAGAGCGCGGCATACCGCACTATGGTAACGCAAACCACCACCATCACGTAACAACACATACCATTACATACCATGTCAGACCATGACGCATCATAACAACTCATGTACCGACGTCATGGATCATACAGAGCATACCATAACACCACACATCATAGCAAACAAGGGCAGAGCACACCATAACATTTCCCAGCATAACATAACATGCCATTTCACACAATAGCGTAACACATCATAACATGCCACCTAATCACATACTATCATAACATAACAAACCATTTCATCACACCATCTATATTGTACAACGGTATAATTAAACGCGACGTGCGCGCCGAGGTCAGACTGACCACAGGAGCAAACAGGCGCAGCAACGACAGATCTGACGACGTATCTATCGTGATAGGCGTCACGGCATCACGCCAGCCCGTCGAGAACAACATATACATACGTGATATACTACGCTGGGCCAGAATCGAACCGAGCATACTGAAGCACAATATTACGTATACGTCAGTCGCCACTTCACGGCGTCTCATCAAACCCGACATGCGCCCCGTCGTCAGACGAGGACGGGACGTCCGGAGCAGGAGGAAGGCGAGGTCAGCCTCACCTCCTCCTTCTTCTCCTCTTCCTCATTCGTCTCATGCCTCCTCCTCGTGCTGGCGCTGCTGCTCCGTTGCCTCTTCCAACAGGCTGCAGAGTCTCTCCGGATAAGTTTGGGGGTGCCAGGAGACTCGTTTGGGGGGCTGGTTTGTCGCTCCAGGGATTTGTTTCGGTCTCCTTCGTCGGAAGACCCAGGGTTGTTTGTCTTTCGGGAAGCATCAACTTGCGACCTAGCATTGCCGCCGCGCTGGCCGAACCCGCGGGGCCCCGCGCACATCTTTCCAGTGGGCGCGCGCATCGTTGGGAACAAACGCCGAATGTTTCGGCGGTGATCGCTCGAAGCAAAATAATCCCACCAGCCCTTCAGGGCGTAGGTGGTCTAGGGTGTTTTGTCTTCGAATTGCCCCGCTTCCCCATCGGGGATGGGTTTTTTCCCCTCCCCCTACCCCCTGCCCCTCCCCTGGACCTGGACGGGGCCGGGCGCGAGGTGTCAGAGCGTCCATAACGGCCTCGGCGAGGAAGCCCAAATCATTGGTTTTACGAAAAGGTTTTGGCCCCATTTTGGCCCCTTGGGGGGGCACCACACATTAAGGCTCCCCTGTTGTTTGATCGATGTCTTCCAAACTGGCCCAAAAATGGCCCCCAGGGCTCCCAAGGGCGCTCCAAGAGGCTCCATGATGCCCCCAAGAGGCCCCCAGGATGGCCCGCAACTCATGTTACTAATCCGACCGCGTCGCTAAATTCCTGTAACTCTCGTCGCTCTTGCGCGCCCTAATATTGAATATGGCGGGATCTCGAGCGGGGTCCTCGTCTGTGGGTAAACCGATCGAGCGTGTCATGCGGAAATCCGCTCCCTAAGGGGCCCGCGGCTGATGTTCCTGATCCGAGCGGGCCATCTGCTTCCTGTAACTGGCGTCGCTTTGGGCTTTTTGACGCTTGCGTATAGAAGCAACATCTGGCGGGAGCGTCCTCCGTAATTGAAAGGCACTCGGCTCAGGCAGGAGCCCCCCCTCCCCCCTTCGTAGGGCCTGCCGATCACGTTACCAGTCCAAGCGGGCCATCGGAATCCTGATGCCTCTTGGAGCTTGAAGCCTCTTGAAACTTGCAGCTGGCGGTCGTATCGAGCGGGAACTTCGTCTGTGAGTGACTAACGAAAAAGGTGCCTGCGGAATCTGCTGATCCTGCGGCAGCCCACGCGAAAGATCCTGGAGCGCGGGTCGTCGGCTTCCCTGCGGAAGGCGCTCGGGGAGTTCGACAACAGAACGGTGTCGTCCAGGGCTGAGGCGGGGCAGCTCGCGGAAGCGCTAATCTTCTCGCTGCCTTCCGCCTAAGCGCGGCCGCGACTAGCTCGAGACCTGCGGGGTTCTGCCAACGGCTTGCTTCCGCGCTCCAGCTGCTCGTGGGTTTCCAAACGTTCTGGCCCACGGCCACGGGGTTGTCCTAGCGGCTTCGCAACCTTGGCCATTGGAGAACGCGCCCCTGCCGGCCGTGGCGGCAACCGCACCAGGGAACATCGGCTTGCGCGCCCTTGCTGAAAGGGCGAGGGAGGAGGTGGATGGGGGAGAAGGGGCGGGAGGACGAGGAGGAGGCAGAGTAGGGGGCGGGAAGATCGAATCCGTCAAGGCGGCAGAGGAAAGGGCGATGCAAGACGGGAACGAGCCTATACACTCACAAGGAAGAGGATGAGGCTTACTTCCAGATTCCTTTGGCAGAATCTCATGTCGGGCCCTACCGTCGGAACAATTTAAGACGCATGCGCGCGGCACTAAGGCGAGAATCATATGTTTAAAGCGGCCCGCCCTCCATGCGTGAAACTGGCGCACATGTTAAAAAACGAGTGCGCGCGGCGCTGAAGCGAGAACCACATTTCGAAAACGCGCCGCCCTCCATCCGTGAACCGTCTGCAGAGTATGAGGCTCAGAATCATAGATTGGTGAGGACATCTCAAGCGACACGACCAGCCCCAGCCCGCCCTGCCGACCCGCCTCGGGGTGTGACGGGGAGGCATGATCCAAAAGGGCGCAGGAGGAGGTGCGAGGCGGAGGGGCGAGGCGGAGGACACGCCGCCAGGGAGGGGGCCGGCCGCCTGGCTCGAGGCGAGCTCCGCGAGGCCCTCCTGCAGCGCCGCCACCTCGCTCTTCAGCTGCGCCGACCTCCGCAGCGCAGGCCCCTCGGGCGCCGCTTGGCGCTCCCTGGGTCGCCTCTCCTCGCGCCCTCGCGCCCCGCGCCCCGCGGTGCGCGGCCATCCTCGCGCCCCCGCGCCGCCCCCCTGGGAGAAGGGCCGTCGCCCAGGCCCAGACCACGACGCGCGAGGCGCGACTGTCTTGGCGCCTCTGCGAGTCACCAAGGCTCCAGGCGCCGATCAGCGCTCCTGGCTGCAAAAGTGGATCTGGAGAGCCGTGGGGCGAGCCGGGGAGGAGTGGTGGAGCCGAAACAAGAAGGACTGCGACGAGCCTCTTCAGGATGCTGCACTGCGTCTCGATCGCAATTGCGGCCCCGCCCGGGCACTGCAAAACAAAAGACATCTCCCCCCTACACATACGCACACACAAACACACAAACAAACGCACACACACAACACAAGCACAAACACAAATGCAAACACAAACACACAAGCACACACACACACACATGTTCACACAACACGCACACACAGAGGCGCTCAAAGCGTGACGCCCACACACATGATTCCATAATCCTGTACATGCAAACAACAAATATGAAAACCCAGGGGCGCCTGATTCCCTGTCGCGAGGCAACTGCAAATTTACTGTATCGTAATTGCTGAATGCGCAAAGAGATATGAATGCCGGCCCAGAAGAAGTAAGCACACCAAATTGTCGAACTGCAGAAACATGGCGCGACTATGTGGAAACAAAGTTAGTCAACGAATGTGTCGTATGGTCTGTCACCCTGCGTTCAGCGTGTTGGGATGCGTTGTAATGCTCATTTGGGCTGTCTGTCTGGCGGCTTCCCAGAGGCGACTCCCTCTTGTCGCACGTACCCCCCCAAGGCAAAATCGCGCCATCTGGCGCCCCAAGTCAGCTGCTGCATGCTCAAGGTCGCGCCCGCCCAAGACGGCTCAACGACCGCATGATTGAGGGCCCCCCAAAAAGCCCTCCAAGAGTTACTGAGGCGCAAAAGTCAATTAAAAGCTAAGAGGAGGTAAGCGTTTCGGGCATTCAGCTTCACATGACATGTCATGCCATTTCAGATAATGTCAAGCAATTGCTTCTAGGCACTTCGGCGTCAGATGGCTTTGGGAAGCGCTTAGAGGAGGCCCATGAAGCACCAATACGGCGCCGAGAAGGCCCCCCCATACGGTGCCCAAGACCCTCGCAAAAGGGCTTCAAGACGGCCCCAAGACCTGCCCAGCCGGGCCCAAGATGGTCCAACTGAGCCACTTCGGGATAGCTCGGGAAAATCACTGCGCCCAAGGACTGCCAGCAGGCCCCCAAGAGAGCCCAAGTGTCTTCAAATCCGCCGACCCTGTCGGCGTGTGGAAGACGCATCCCGGTGTCGTCGTCTTGCGTGGATCACCGTCGTCGTCGTCGTCGTCGTCGTCGTCTCCGTCGTGTCCTCGTCGTCTCCGTCTCCGTTGTCCCTCGTCGTCTTCGTCGTTCCCCGTCTCCTTGAGGGCGCGAGCCAAAGCGACATTGAGCAACGTCGTAGTTGAGTCGTGGCGAAGCCCCTCCCTACCCTCCCCGCCGGGGGGTGGGGGGTGGGGGGGGGGGTCGCCGGCGGGGGTCGCCGGGGCGGTCCCTGGGGGGGGTCGCCACCCAGATACGCATCCTCCCCGGGGGGTCCCGGAGCTCAGAAAAGCTTCAAGACGAGCCAAGAGCGACAGAAGACACCCCCAAAAGGGTACAAGAGGGCCTCGACTCGACGAACGATGGCCCCAAGACGCCCAAGACGGCCCGAAGACGGCCCAAGAGGCCCTCAAGACGCTCCAAGAGAGCCCCAAGAGCACACCCAAGAGGGCCCCAGGCGCCAAAATCGTCAATTTTACATAGGTTTTTGAATGATTTTGGCCTTCTCGCCTTTTCGGCTTTCCGACACTCCAAGACGGCCCAAGAGGCCCCCAAGAGGCCCCCAAGAGCGCCCCAAGAGGCCTACAAGAGGGCCCCAAGACGGCCCAAGAAGGCCCCAGGACAGCCTAAGAGGCGCCCACGACGGCCCAATAGGGCCCCAAGACGGGCCCAAGAAACGGCCAAGAGGGGGACGAGGAACCGAGAATTCGAGACTTCCGCCCTAAGAGGCCCCCGGGAAGCCCCAAGAGGCCCCCAAAAGGCCCCAAGAGGCCCCCGAGCGGCGCCAAGACGCCCCCAAGATGCGCCGAAGACGGCCTCCGGAAGCCCCAAGAGGCCCAAAAGAGGCCCCAAGAGGCCCCACAACGGCCCCCAAGAGGCTTCAAGTTGCCTTCCAGACGCCCCCGAGAGGTCAACCACGAGATCCCAACCAACATCCATAAGGCCTCCTCCTCCTCCCCCTTCACCCTTCCTCCTCCTACTCCCTTCCGCCTCCTCCTCCTCCTCCTCCTCCTCCTCCTGCCCCCCCCCTCGTGTTGTCTTTCGTCATCCTCAGGGTCGGCGGCAACGGCCGTAAGGCCTTCGCAATAAACAACCATGGAGAGACATAGAACTGCGTAAGAATGCACTTTCGGTGCTCCACACGGACTTCTTGGATCGGCGTCGGGCCCCTCTGGCGGCACCTCCCGCGCTGCCCCTGGCGCGCTAGAGAGGGGAGCCTGGCGAGGCTCCAGGACATTCGCGCGGAGTTCAAAGAATTTTACGCGAATAACTATAATTTTCCCCAATACGCGCTTGCACTGAAGGGGTCCTAGCGGATATTGAAAGATTCGGCGACAATTTCCCGCCGATGTTGATGGCCAGCTGGGTTCCCGGGTTCCCGGTTCCCGGGTTCCTTGTTATTGGCTCCAGGCCGATTTCGGTGGGTTCTGAGACCTGGGTTCCGGGTCGATCTCATCATCGATCTTCTTATTGATCCCGGAGTTTTCAAACCATCCACCGATTGGGGTTTTCCTCTGGTGTGATCTTATTAGTCGAACCCACGCCACCTCCAGAAAACTTCGAGCAAATCCACCGACGCGCAGCGCAGAAGCCGTGCGACTGGACGGCTGTGCCACGCCACGGCGCCGCGGGGCCGCTTCCCACACGGCCCCAACGTGGTCACGCCGAGCCCGCTTGGTAGTTTTTTGGTTACCGGTAGCTGTCCATCCATAGACAGCCGTTGAACACGCTGAGGCTCGGGTGCTCCTCATGGGTTCGGAGGGCGGGTGGGAGTGAGCGATGCAGCTTGCGGGCGTGAAGGGGGTCCGGAACTCTCCTCCTACCCCCCCTTGGACCTGGACACGGCGCCCTGCAACCTGTTGGAGCGTCCACGAAGGCCTCGGCGAGAAGGCACAACTTATTGGTTTTATCAAGAAGCTGTTGGACACATGTTGGCGAGGGAGGGACCTAATTCAATGCCCCCCTTCTTTGAGCGATCTCCCCCAAAATGGTCCCTAGATGGCCCCCGCGGCTCCCAAGGGTGCCGCAAGACGGCCCCAAGAGGCGCCCAGGAGGCCCAAAGAGGTCCCCGTGAGACTCCCACAAGACCTCAAGAGACTCTCCCGATGCATCCAAGACGCTCCACGAGGCCTCTGGGACCGCCAAGGGGCCCCCAACACGCCCCAAGAGAACCCCAAGAAACTCTCAAGAGATACCCGAAGGGATTCCGAGAGCCATCCAGGAGGCCTCTGGCATGTTTGCTCGCACCCCCTCCTGCTCTTCCTCATTCGCCTCCTCCTCCTCCTCCTCCTCCTCCTCCTCCTCCTCCTCCTCCTCCTCCTCCTCTCTCCTCTCTCTTCCCCCTCCCTCTCCTCCTCCCCTTTCAATTCCTCCTCCATCCTCCCTCTGTTGGGGTACGGCGTCTTCCCAAGCCCTTTATTCCACTGCTTGCTCCTCCCTATCCCTGATCAGGGCAACTCGCCTGGGCATCGTGTATGTATGTGCTGGTGGGGTTGCGAGAAGCGTCTAGCATAACCCTGTGGTATTTAGCATGTCTGTGCTCTCGAGGCTCTGGCAACCTGCCGACAGCCAAGAACCCATGCACCTAAAAACCCATAACCACGAAAACATAAATCCCATCGCCCACGGACATCTAAAATAATGTCTAACCATATCGTCGACTTATCCGCATTGGTTGGGGAAGTAAAACACGGGAAACAAAACGATTGGAAGCGAGGCTCCACGACCGCGCACTCCACTGGTCGATCTTCGAAGTGAGCTTCTCGATCTCCGCGATCTTGTCGGCCTCAGTGTGAACTGGGTGGGCATGAGGAAATGGAGGCAGGGTGAGGCAAAGAAGAGAGCACCCTTGGGCAAAGGCTTCGGCCAATCTTCTCCACCATCCTGGTCAGAAACTGGAATGTGGAAACGACAACGCTGCGACGTTGAACACAAACATTACGTGTATACCTGTGCTATGTGTACTTAAATGTACGGTTCTATGGAGGGACGGCAAGGTATCCACGCACACATTTAGCACAAACAACTGACGGCGACCCGGCGGTCCTCTCATACTCGCATCGGGCCCAAGCTAAGAATCCAACCTGCCGGAAATCCGACCATACCACTAACTCTGAACATCTGCCTTCCGCAATCACTATATGCGTCACGTTCAACATCACTATCAATACCGGCATCTCTATCACTACGGCTGCTGCTACTTCTACGGCTGCTGCTACGTCTAATTACTGCTGCTGCTTCACTGCTGCTGCTGCATGCGATACTGCGGCTGCCACTGCAAAGTCCTACAGCGACAGACAGGGGAGGGTTCACGGTTGACGGCTCTACCTCGTAAGTGTCATGTTGCAGCGATGGCCATGTGCAGACACATGCACAACACACATATATGTAGATATATCAGAAAGACACACGTGTATACATACATTCGCGGGCATAGTGTCAACCCCAAGGCGGGGCCATCGCGAATCGAAACTTGCATTCCCCCAAACTCATGTTCGCCCGACACGTTGCACTGCAAGTGCAGCTACTCCTGCCGTCATCACCGTTGCCGCAACTGCCACGGCAATATCGTTCGGGACCGCGCTGCTCGGCCTCACTCTGCACACATGCAAGCCGGCGTCAACTCCCCAACGGCCGCGAGAGCGTCCACTGGGCGCCTCCCCTACAGTCGGGCTGCTGAAATAAGGAACGCTAAATAAGCCCCTCTGCGGCTTCGAAAAAGCCTGGGTGCACGAGAAGGGCTAGAGGAACAACCACGGAAGGACGTAAGGAACATCGAACCCCTTTCGAATCCAAACTGTTCCTTATTTCAGCGTCTTGGCTGCATGCCGCTTCCTTCGCGCCGAGGCCCCGCCGCGGCGACGAGGGGGCCCCAGGGCTGGCAGGAGAACCCGCGAGAGGACGCGTTCGCCGCCTCCGAGGGCGACCGCCCCCCATGCTCCGGCCACGCAGCGCCAGGCTGCCCAACCTCGCGCTGCGCACTCCACGACGCGCGGCTATCTTCGCGCCTGCGCGAAACCAAGTTTTGTTGTTTTACCTTCTCCACGATTGAGAACTCAAGTGACCTTCTTGGCACAAGAACTGTGCAACGGCACAATAAAAATGTCACGGAATACCTCTTGGAGGTTGTGAACATGTCAAGCGGTCAGAGGCCACTTGCTGGGAGGCCGCGAAATGGGCCATTGATGAGAGGGGCAGCGAGGACTTCGGGCCCCCGAAAAAGCCTTTCGGGACCGAGAAAAGGCACCTGCCTTCCTCGCCCCATGCATCGCCCCCCCAGTAATTCGCGCCCAACCTTTGAGGAAGAACTGTTCCCCGGCCGAGACCGCGACGAGCGACGCACGATGGTCTTTGCACCCCTGGGCGTGGCCCAGGAAGATCTCATCCGAAGGCAGCCCGGGCTCCAGACACCGAAGAGGGTACGACACGGGGCAGGCATCCTTGAGATTGCTTCGGGCGCGCGCCAACATGGATTATATATCCGCGGATCTGGCGCGCGGGCGCGAGATCCACGGACCGGGGAGAAGGTTCCCTTCTCTTTCATGGCTCGCGAACAGCCGTCGCTGCGATAACGTGGGCCGTTAAAGCCGCCAGGCGCTCTCAGCAACCGGGCGGCCCAGTGTTCTTTTCCACGCCCAACCACATGTCGATGGTACCGTCGCGTGAAGATCGCCGTCTTCCTGCAAGTTCCAGGAAGAAAGCATCCACGTGCCCTTGGTTGTAGAAGTACTTGCGGATGTCAGACTGAAGCAGTACAGCGGTTTCCTCGTCGGTGTAGCGGATCTTGGCCACGAAAGCCTTGTGCGTGTTCACGCACTCCTGTGAAAGATCTTGAAGGTAGGTAACAGTTCCGGATCATGCGCTCCCACTTCGCAGAGTCATCCTGGTGGAGGACGACATTGTTGAGTGGTCTAGTGTGGCAAACCGCTTTGGAGCGCACACCGCCCCCCTCGGAATCACATGGGTGAGCAGTGACACTGGTGCCAAATCGCTTGTAGAAGTGGTGCCCGAAGCATCCACCTGGGTGGACAAACTGAGCATGGAACTGCTCGGCTAAAAGCGAAATTGGCGCGCTCTTCAGCTCTTCATGTCCACTAATGTGCCACGTGCCTTGGGACATCACCGATGGGGGCCAGTCGAACGGATTGCGGGCAGAAGAGAATGCCCAGGCGCGGCTGCCCCATGGACGATGAAAGAAAAACTTTCGCGCAGCCGCCTGCGTGGCATTCCACTGTGAGCCGACTGAACTTATCTCCGTCCATGCTCAGCCCCTCGCATGACGGTTCCAGCATACTCCCGCAAGAATGATGCAACGGGGTCCCGCGAATCGTCGGTGCCGAATGCGCCGTGAAGGCGTCGTCTGTCCAGGGGGCGGCTGCTTTCGCCGTCTCAACATTCGCGCCCGACGCATCTGCGCTCGCCCGGACGTTTACGGCGGCTGCGTTGGGCATGCCCTGCGCGCAGAGGAGGGCCGCCGCAATCGGGGATGCCACAGGGCCGCCGCCGGCGAGATCGGCGACAAGTTCGGCGTCGAAGCGCTGCTAGACCCAACGCGACCTGAGCCAAAATAGCTGCGGCACATCGGGGAGAGCACTTCCTGGCGCACATCGCCACTGCCGCCCGACTTGGCGACGGCCCGCGTCGATTTCGCATGGAAGGGGGTTCCGTCGCGAGCCCGCCCGCCTCGATCCACGCTTGCGCTCCGTCGATGTTGGGGTCGCAGCGGTCGCGGGGCCTGGTTTTGCAGAGCCTTCTTGCCGCGTCGTCTCTCCAGCAGTGGGCCCAGGCCGTAGCCGGCTCAGGGAGTGCCGCTGCGGCCCCCGCAACTGCCCCACCGCGCGACCGTCGTCGACATCAGCGTCGAAACCACGCGGCCAGCTCCCGCCCGCGCAAGCTCCAAAGGACGAGGCGCCACATCCATTCCACAAGAAGTTCGAAGCTCACCAGCACGCGCCCACCGCGCGTTGGGGGCTCGCGCAGGGGGGCGGCGGCGGCAGTGGCGGCGGGCAGTTACAAGCGACGGAGGCCGCCTGACTGTCGACGCAGCGATGCAGCAATGGAAAAACACTGCGCGAAGCGGCAGCGGCGGCGGCAGCACTCAGAGGAAGAGAAGGGCACCCTTGCATGCAAGCCCTCTCTTTGCTCTCGTCAAATCTCGGCGTGGTATACTGATCGTCGCTATTGCGCTATCCTCGTCGGCACCCAGCCGACTCAGCCCAGTCAATCTTTTGGGGTAGAACAGACAAGCGCGCATATGATCTTACTAGGAGGGAGGTGAAGCCTTTCGGACAATGAGCGATCTAGAGACGCAGATGCTTCACCCATCAGGGACACAAGCAACATTGCCTGTGCCTGCTTCGCTGGCGTTGGTCCGCAGGCGGCCTTGCCTGGCTTCGTCGGCGCCCACTGTGCCGCTGGGTCACGGCTCGGGGGGTCACGTCCCAGCGGGGCCGAGTGCCTGCCTTCCGTGGCAGGGCGCCGCGCAGGGCGCGTTGCGTCGCCGGGCGCCGCACAAGGAGCAATGCTTCGCACTTGCCTTCCGTCTCGTGGCAGGGCGCCACACAGGGCGCACGCCGACCTTCCACTCCAAAACACTTCCTCCTCCTCCGCCAAGCCCGCCCCGCCCCCCCCCATCGAGCATGTGCTCGCGCGCGTTGTCGGCCGACTGCGGCCGAGGGGAGAGAACGGTCTACCGAGGCCGCGCGCTGGGCTCGCTCGAGGGGCGGGCGGCTGCATGGGAGGGGCCTATGCGAGCTCTGGTCGGCTGGCGTCTTCTCGCGGCGAGCTCTCGACCCGAAACCAATCTGCTGGCGTCTCCTCTTGTCGAGCACATCTACAACTCATTGCGCGCAGCAAAACTGCGCCCTGATGCGGGGGCCAGGGGTGGCAATCACAATCCGTTTTGGCGCGTCGGTCGGTCAGGGTGGACGAGCGCCGCCTCGCGACCTACGATGGAAGGCGATGGTCAAGCCGACGACGTTGCGTGCCAAGGGTGGAAGCGATCGGCATGCTTCGCGGCGAGGATTGGCGGCAGCCGCAAGACGCATCACAACGCGAACAAGCGTTGCACGCTCGGACGGGGAATCCGGCACGAAGAAGGACTCGACAGCGCGGGGGATCGGATCGCGAATTTGCTGCTGGGGCACAGGCGGGGGAGGGGGGAGGGGAGCGGGCCGCGCGAGGTCGAGGCCCCCATGCATGCGGCTGGCCTCGCTGGACCAGGGGATGTGGGATGTCGGCGGGATGCGGCCCAGGGGGCGGGGGCCTCGACGATGGGCAGCGCGGGCAGCCGATGCTTCGCGAAAAGGGGGCACGCACAGAACGGCACTTAGCGGCCGGGGCGCGGCACTCGTTGGGGGCGCGAATGGCGGCGCCCGACATGCACCCCGCCCCGCTGGCTAGGTGTCGCTCTGTAAGTGCTCCGGTTTGTGAGGATGTCTACGGCGAAAGCAGCCCGTGCAGAACTGCACCTAGTGCCTGGCTAAGTGCAATTCTGAAAGTGCTGGGTGTCTCGCGCGGGGCCAGCACGCGCAGATCGGCACCTGGCGAAAGTGGCGGGGCGCAGGCCGGGTGCGTCGTCGCGCCCCGCCCGCAGAGTCAGGAAAGCAAGGGCCGCTGAACCTCCCGCCGGCTTCCGGGCGGAGGAGTCTGAACGTCCCAGGGCTATCCGAAGGAATTCCAACTGCGGCCTCCACCCGCATCGCCCCCCCTATCAGAGCATCTCGCCTGGTCACTGCCCCGTCCGCCCGCTGCGTTGTCCTCCCCCTCCCCCGTTCTTCCTCTACC